TTGATACAGAACATCTCCATCACCCAGAAGCTTCCTTTGCAGACCCGCCCTCCATTCACCCCTCTAATTGCTTTAAAACTTTTCTTTCTCTGTCTCAACACTGAGTTCACTTCCAAGTCTTGCTTCTATGTTATTAATTTGATCTTTAGCCATGTTTCTTCTATTTTTTTCTCTTGGTTCCTGAATTGTTAGTTTCTAATGATGTTATGTTTCACAGTTTGTTTCTTCAGCTCTGTAGTTTTCCATTTTATTCTGTGGTTTTATCCTCTCCTGCCTAGGCTCTCTTATAAGTGAATTGTTCTTTTTTTTTTTTATGTTTTGGGTTTTTGGCCTCAAGGCATGTGGGATTCCCTGACCAGGGATTGATCCTGCACCCTTTCATTGGAAGACGAAGTCTTTTAATCACTGGAGACATCAGAGAAGTCCCTTGAATTGCTCTTTTTTAAAAAAAAAAATCTTTTCTGTGTGGAGTTGGACACAGCTGAGCAACTGAGCACGCATGCATGCATTGTGCAAAGACACATCCCTGTGTCACATGCTGTTTCTCTGGTCGTTTTGCCCAGACATCACTCTTCAAATGCTTGCGTGCAGCTGTGTGACTTTCTTTTCTTTAAAGAAAAAATTACTCTGTGTGTGTGTGTGTGTGTGTGTGTGTGTGTATGTGTGTGTGTGGAGGGGGGAACAAAGACAAAACAAGATTCGGAACTGCATGAACATGATAATGTCCTTTGTTTAAATAAAAAATAATGCGTAGAAGAAAATCATGTGGGATGATGCATACATTTTTGACTTACCATGACTCCCCATCTCGCCTCCCCCAAATCACTCCTGGATAATTTGGACAGCTCTGATATTTGTTTTTTAAGAGGACACTTAAAAGGATCTTTGAAAACCAACTTGATAGAATTCCCTGGTGGTCCAGTGGGTAGAACTCCAGACTTTCACTCTTGAAGGCTGGGGTTCAATCCCTGGTTGGAAAACCAAGATCCCACAAGCTTAGAAAAAAAATGATAACCAACTTGAAACATCCAGGACACCTGAAAAACATCAAATGTAACCATCATGTTCCCTGTTGGGAATTAAGATGGGCCTTCTCACTTACTCCACTGTCTCTCAGGATTCTGAATCTATGAGACATGAGTCCAATCTGAATGAAAAAAAAAATCTACTTCCCATTAAAACATAATCCCCAGCTTTAGTTTTTATTGTGAAGGAGAAAAGAGAAAAAATTAATGACCATAGAAGTAGAACTTCTTACCGTAACTTCTTACCGTAACTTTCTTACGGTTAGAAAGTTCAAGCCTTTAAAAGGGGCAAAATGAAAATTAACAAAGACAAATATCAGATATTAACACATACATATGGAATCTATAAAATGGTATAGATGATCCTACTTGCAAAAGAGAAATAGAGACAGAGATGTAGAGAACAAACGTATGGACACCAAAGCAGAAAGAACAGGGTGGGATGAATTGGGTGATTGGGATTGATGTAGATACACTATTGATACTATGTATAAAATAGAAAGCTCATGAGAGCCTACTGTATAGCACAGTGCTCTGTGCTCTGTGGTGACCTAACTGGGAAGGAAATGCAAAAAAAAAAAAACAAAAAAACAAAGAGGGGATACACGTATACATACAGCTGGTTCACTGTGCTGTACAGTAGAAACTACACAGCATTGTAAAGCAACTATCCTCCAATAAAAATTAATCTTAAAAAAACAGCAACAAAATATAGTAAAAGCCTCCTTCTATAAACTCCAGTTCCCGCCTCTTACAATTACTTCCTGAAAAGAGAAACTATATATAAATTAGCATAGATAACATAGAGGCTATAAATATATACCGTTAGAACCAGATGTGAAACAACATACTGGTTCAAAATTGGGAAAGGAGTACGTCAAGGCTGTACATTGTCACCCTGCTTATTTAACTTATATGCAGAGTACATCATGAGAAATGCTGGGCTGGATGAATCATGAGCTGGCATCAAGACTGCAGGGAGAAATAATAACAACCTAAGGTATGCAGATGATACCACTCTAATGGCAGAAAGCAAAGAGGAGTTATAGAGCCTCTTGATGAAAGAGAGAGGAGAGTAAAAAAGCTGGCTTAAAATTCAACATTCAAAAACTAAGATCATGGCATCCAATCCCATTACTTCATGGCAAATAGATGGGGAAAAAGTGACATTTTATTTTCTTGAGCTCCAAAATCACTGTGGACAGTAACTGCAGCCATGAAATTAAAAGACACTCGCTCCTTGAAAGAAAAGCTATGACAGACATTGTGTTAAAAAGCAGAGATCACTTTGCCAACAAAGGTCTGTATAGTCAAGACTATGGTTTTTCAAGTAGTCATGTATGGATGTGAGAGCTGGACCATAAAGAAGGCTGAGCATTGAAGAATTCATGCTTCTCAACTGTGGTGCTGGAGAGTACTCTTGAAAGTCCCTTGGACTGCAAGGAGATCAAACCAGTTAATCCTAAAGGAAATCAACCCTGAATATTCATTGGAAGAACTGATGCTGAAGCTCCAATACTTTGGTCACCTGATGTGAAGAGCCAACTCATTGGAAAAGATCCTGATGCTGGGAAGGATTGAGGGAAGGAGAAGGGGATGATAGAGGATGAGATGGTTGGATGACATCACTGACTCCATGGAAATGAGTTTGAGCGAATTCAGGGAGTTAGTGAAGGACAGGGAAGCCTGGCGTACTGCAGTCCACGTACTGCAAAGAGTGGGACATGACTTAGCGACTGAACAACAACAATATGTAATATATACACTATATAGGCATGTCTGTGCCCTTTTGTGTAGTTAGACAAAAGATCATAGCATATGATACTTATTTCATAAGACCACATACTTATTTCATTTAATAGCCTCCAAAAGGAGAATATTCCTTATCAATTCACATAGATTCACCTTCTTCTTTTTAATGACCTCATCCTGTTATTGAATACATTGTATGGATGTGTCTTCTTAAATTTAATCAGTCTCCTTTCCAGTTTTCCCATGGGAAAGCAGCAAGCACAGAAAAGAGTAAAGATGCAAATATTGCTCCAATACAACTCCATCCTAAGGAGCTGAGTCATGGAAAATGAGGATTAGAAAATAGTTTCCCAGTAATAATTTCCAGCAAAACAAAATGAAAAAAGGGAGGTGTTATTGATATTTCTTTATTGCTTGTGGAGAGCAATAATGTTTCGATTCTGCTGTGCTCTTGTGTACAACTGTGGTGAAGCCTCATGTAGAGAGAGATGCTTAGGTGATTCTGAGAGATCTTTACAACCAGCTCATTCTGAGATTTTAAACATTAAGCCTTGTAACTGTATTTGAAGCAAACAACTCAGCAGCAATTTTTCTGAAGTTATTTAGTACAACATTTTCCCATGAATAGAGGTCTATATTCACTTAAAATTAGGAAATCATGCACATCGTATCCACCCCCCTTGAGTATGTATGGTATGTGTTCATATATCATAGTTATGGGAAAAATTTTTCGGTAAATAAACCTATTGAACATTATTGAAAACAGTGTTTTCCAAACTTACTCAATCACTGCTGTCTTTCCAGCCTATCACTTATTAGTATCTCATGATGTAAGTGTTGCTTCAGATTGTCTTAAAAATATATGTCCCGATGGAGTCTGTGTCTTAAATTCAGTGCAGGAATCAGTAAACATTTTCTATAAAGAGCCAAATAATAAATATCTTAGGTTTTGCCAGCCAAATAGTCTATATTGCAAATCCTCAGACCTGGCACGTAACACAAAAGCAGCCATAAACAAGGCTGAACAAGTGACCATGACTGTATTCCAATAAATCTTTAGTTATGGACACACATTGAATTTTATGTCATTTTTACATGACACAAAATATTATCCTTCTTTTTCTCCATCCATTTAAAACTATGAAAATCATTCTTAGCAGTTAGGCTGTGCAGAAATAGATGGACGGGATTTGACCTGTAGGCCAAAGGAGGATACCCTGTGATTTAGTGGATAAAGATTCAGGATAAGAAATACATGCTTTATTCAGTCAGATTGGGCAACAGCTATGATAGTTTCAAGAAAATTCAGAAGTTTTGTGTGTTGTTATATATGAAAATGCTGTATATTGTTTAGTTGCTCAGTCATGTCCAACTCTTTGAGACCCTGTAAACTGTAGCCCGCCAAGCTTTTCTGTTCATGGAATTCTCTAGGCAAGAATACTGGAGTGGGTTGCCATTTCCTTCTCCAGGGGCTCTTCCTGGACCAGGAATCAAACCTGTGTCTCCCGCAATGGCAGGCAGATTCTTTACCACTGATCCACCAGGGAAGCCCATATATTAAATAAAAAAGAATATTAAAGCTTCATCTACTATGCAGAAGGAGAAGGAAATGGCAACCCACTCCAGAATTCTTGCCTGGAGCATCCCATGGACAGAGGAGCCTGGTGGTCTACAGTCCATGGGGTCGCAAGAGTTGGACACAACTTAGTGACTAAACCACCACCACCGCTCTGCAGAAAGCATTTGTTATCCTACAGTTTTGTTCCTAAATATCAAGACATTTTAATAAAACTCTGCCTGTTAAGAGAGGGTAAGTGCCAAAAAGATTTCTTGAATAAATACTGGTGAACATCTCCATGTTATAAAAGAACTCAGAGTAGAAATTATCTCTACATGATTTATTATGACCAAATCTTACAGAAAACCTTTTATTGATGATATGCAAAGGTCAGAGCACAGAATTTGAATTAAATAAAATAGGTGCAAAAGTTCAGTGTATCTCTGGTAAAAGCTTCTTTCTATTGCTGATGAGGTTGGAACGTTTGTCCATGACACATTTTCAGGCAACAGCAAAAGGACAGCCTCTGAAACATTGAATCCTCTCTGAATGAAATTACTTTTTTCCTTCATAGAATGCTTGTCACTCCCGCTTTGTGATCTCTTTGGACTGATGGCCCATGTCCTCCCCTGCTCCGACCCTTGGGGCTCCCCGGTTGCCTGCAGGTTTGTTCCGGAGCCCTGGTCCACCTGCAGTGCCACATGTGGGCCAGGTGTTCAGGTGCGAGAGGTGAAGTGCCGCGTGCTCCTGACCTTCACGCAAACTGAGACTGAGCTGCCAGAGGAAGAGTGTGAGGGCCCCCGGCTGCCCACAGAGCGGCCCTGCCTCCTGCAGCCCTGTGATGAGAGCCCTGCCACCCGAGAGCTGGCCGCCTCCCTGCAGGAGCAGGACAGTGAGACGACCTACGACTGGGAATACGCTGGCTTCACCCCCTGCACCGCCACCTGTTTGGGAGGTATTTGATCTTTTACTTAAGGGACAGCTGTGTCTGGCGTTGCTGATGGTTTGAGAAGTAGCAATACTAAACCGGTAAAGCCTCATCTACAAACTAGCAGAAGTCCAAAGGAGGAGAAGATATTTGAATAATTGAAAACTGTGCCTTTTCTTTCTTTCAGTTTTCATCATCATTATTTTAGAAAGATAAAGGACAGTGGAACTAGATCCTGTGTTCCTGTGTTCCTAAGCATTTGCCTAACTGAGATGGTTACAGAGGTCACCGATTGATAGAGAATAAATAGGAAAATGCAAGAAATGATTAGTTGAGGTAGTGTTGTGCATAAGTCAGAATTACAGAATGAGGCAGCCTGGGACTGCCTTATCTGATGCTCAGAAGTTATCCTCAGAAAATATTTTAGGTTCGTACCTGCACATTGAACCAGAAACCAGTATGGAGCAAACTGATCACCATGATTTATGTGTGTGTACATGTGTGTACACATAGCCAGGGACCCTGATAGGACTAAGAAGTGGTCATATTGTCAGGTGGCCCCTTTGGGGTGGAAATTAGCCCCAAGGTGCTTCAAGCATTCCAGGATCCAAAAGGGAGTGAATGAGCAGAGAGAAGTCCAGATAGTCATTCTGTCTGTTGGAAGTAAAAGGACAGAAATAATCAGTGGGAAACCCAGATCCTCTACTGACACGAAAGGGACTCCTCTCTCAGCAACCCAGGCCCCTGACATCCTCTCACTGACTCCTGACTGTGCCTTCCAGCCAGCTGTCGTGGCTGGAGTTGGGCCTAGAAATGTTCTAATCAGACTTCCCTGGTGGTCCAGTTAAGTCCATGCACTTCCACTGCAAGGGGCATGGGTTTGATCCCAGGTCAGGGAACTATGATCCTACATGCCATGTGGCATGGTCAAAGAAAAAAGGAAAAAAGAAAGAAGGAAAGAAATGCTTTGACTTCAGTGCCAGCCAGTGGTGGGAAAGCTAAGGAAGCTGCTGCCTTAGGAGGCAGTTGGCTCAACAGCCTGCTCCACTCCTCCTGGCAGCCCTACTCGCTTTACTAGGCACGCCCCATCAGGTCTTAAGAGCTTGTGTACCAGTCACTGTGCCCTGGCCTCTTCCCCAGGCAGGTGGAGTGCATTCTCTGTTCTTGCCATCCAGTTGCTATGACTTGAGGTATCTGTCTTTCTCTTTCCTGTGTAGTTCAACCTGTAAATCCACCTATCCTGGACACCAGCCCATCAGTAAACCCAGGTGAAATGGCATGTGCTTTACCCCTAGGCCTCAATTAAGCTACTGTCTTTCATATGGTGGTGAAAGTGAAGTCACTCAGTCGTGTCTGACTCTTTGCAACCCCATGGACTGTAGCCTACCAGACTCCTCCATCCATGGGATTTTCCAGGCAAGAATACTGGAGTGGGTTGCCATTTTCTTCTCCAGGAGATCTTCCCGACCCAGGGATTGAACCCATGTCTCCCACATTGCAGGCAGACGCTTTACCGTCTGAGCCACCAGGGATCATATGGTGGTATCCCTGTGAAATTAGGAAAAGAACTCTAATCTGCCTCCAGATTCTCTCTTGCTTGCTTCTCCCTGCTTCCTAGAAGCCCACCTCAATTAGCCAGGAGTTTAGCCTGCTTCACCCAACACTAAATGTCTGCTGTGTCTCTTCCCTCCCAGGAATAGAAGTCTCACTTTCCTCCTCATTTTCATGTCTGCTTTGGCCCAAACCTCTGGGTTCAGGGTCCTGGACATGTTTTCTGTTATATCTTGGAAGCCTTAAGACTGATATGCCCTTCGTAATCTGGGAACTGGTACTCTCCTGATGAGTCGGGGGAAGCCCTCCAGAGATAGTCATGCATGCTTGCATGCCTGCTCAGTCAATTGTGTCTGACTCTTTGTGACCACATGGACTGTAGCCTGCCAGGTTCCTCTGTCTATGGGATTCCCCAGAAAAGAATACTGGAGTGGGTTACCATGCCCTTCTCCAGGGGATCTTTCAGACCGAGGGATTGAACTTGTCTCCTGCATTGGCAGGCAGGGAAATGGCAATCCACTTCAGTATTCTTGCCTAAGGAATTCCATGGACAGAGGAGCCAGGTGGGCTGCTGTTCACAGGGTCTCAAAGAGTCAGACACGACTGAGTGACTGCACTTTCTTTACCACTAGCACCACCTGGGAAGCCCCTGGCTATTGCTTGCATACCTCCAAATCTACTGTATTAATCTCAGGCTTTTGAATACTGCCATTGATAGAATTAGTCTTGCATCTAGTACTCTGTCATCCTTGACTTCAGTTTTTTCCTGACCGAGAAGGCCCTCCAGATGGGAAAGCATGGCATGTTGGGTCCTTGGAACTTAACAGACCACATAGAGTTGCCCGAGGAAAGTTGACCAGATGAATTCTGATTCAGTTGAAAGAGTCTATTAGACCTCATTTTTGGAGCCTGGTGCCAAAATGTTTGGATCTGCTATGTTTCCAGTACCCACCAAGACAGCCCTGGGTTCCACCTCCAGGAGGCCTGGACCCCCTGGCATGATTTTCTGTTTTTTTTTGGTAACAAGTTTATTAAGATATAATTCACATACCATACAATTTATATATCTGAAGTATACAACGTGGTGTTTTTTTGGTATTTTCACAAAGTTGTGTACCCATCGTCACAATCTTCTTGTAACACTGATGTATTTGAATGCATTGGGTCTTAGTTGTGCCATGTGTGATCTTGCATGCAGCACACAGACTCTTCTGATTGCAGCACACAGGCTTAGTTGTCCAATCAGGGGTCAAACTCGTGTCCCTTGCATTGCAAGGTGGATTCTTAACCACTGGACCACCAGGGAAGACCCCATCAAAACAATTTTAGAACACTTTGACCCCAAAAGAACCCTGTACCCTTAAGAAATCACCCCCCCCATTTCCTCTCAAACCCCCATTTTCCTGCTACCAGCAGCCTCTCACAACTATTAATCTACTTTTTATTTCTTCTGGATGTTTCATATAAATGGAATCACACAGTAAGCAATCTTTGTGACCACCTTCTTTCATTTAGTGTGCTCTCAAGATTCATCCATGTAGTAACATAAGTCTATTCCATTGTATGGATATGTCCATATTTATCCATTCATCAGTTAGATTTTGGCTTATTCACATGTCTTCTTGGATACTATGCCTAAAACTGCTCTGAGCATTCATGTACACATTATTGTGTAGACGTACATCTTCATTTCTCTTGGATATATAGTTAGGAGTAGTAAAATGATCTCTGGATCTGTTTAAGGCATACAAGTTTTGTGAAACTTGACCAGTTCAATTTATCCTTATTGGCACTGTGAACCTTTTGGCCAACTGTGAGGAGAGAAAGGCCTTGCACATGTTAGAAGTGCGTCTCAGTGTTCACATGGTGGATGGGATGGTGTCCATTTGTTTCTGTCATCCTCTTGTATAACTGGAACACATTTTGCAAATTTTAACAGGGCTCAGCTTGCTAATCTTTCAACTCTCAGTTAAACAGAATTTAGCCTTGTGAGGCTATCCTGTGTTGTGTAATTCAGGATAATATCATTAGATGAACGTTGCGTGCCCATGAGCCCAAATGGTATGGCTAGGGAAGCTGAGAGTCAGAGTGTATCACACAGTCCAAAATAGAGAGTGGACAACTTCTTTATTGAGGGGTTGAACTCTAAGTGCTTATAGTAAGATTCTTGACTTTGAAAAAAGCAATGGTTTAATTTCTTGGGTTCAGGCTTCTATTTTCTTAATGTTTTTAATTTCTTGAGTTCAAGCTTAAAATTTCATTTTAAGTATATAACTCAATTCTATTGAATACTTGGAATGCTTGGAGGGTTATAAAATCCTCTAAATGCAGGAAACTGAACACCTGCTCTGTGCTAGACTCTATGCTCTCCACTCAGTTCCAGGCTCAGTACCATGATGTAGAATGAGGCACGGTCCTTGTCCCGAGGGAGCACCGCTCTCGGTTATGTTGGCTTTACTGTCCCTGCTGCATTACTTACAGGCAGTGGCACTCACCTCTCTGTAATCCATCTTCATGTGGTTTTAGAGGCTCAGCCTCTGCAAGCCCACTTAGTGTGGTTTTTCATGTGGATTTTAACCCTCATCCTGGATAACAGGGAGGGTAAGTCTACAATGACTGGAAACCACAGGAAAATAAAGTTTCCACAGGCATGCAGTTATTTCTTCAGCATTCCTGTTTCTGGTAGAAAAATAAGATAGGCAAGTGATATATTTTCAAAAAGATAAACTTCTGATTCCCGTCCCGATATTGTATATTTGTATAGTCTTAACTTGCCTTCACATCATACAGGAAATAAAAGTAAATCAATTTGTTGTAATCGTTGATGTTTAAGAATCTTTTACAAGTCTGCTTTTATACTGGAGTGGCAACAATTCTTTCTCAATTCCCAAAAGTATAAAGAATGCAAACACACTCAATTTCCAGTCTCCAGAGTGCATGTAAGTATATGATATACAGCATTATGTTATATGTGTATGTACATCCTGAAAGTTATTTAAAGTTATGCTTTTAAATACCTACTGATAAGGTTTTGTAATTTACTACACTATCAACATGGGCTTCCCAGGTGGCGCTAGTGGTAAAGAATGCACCTGCAATGCAGGAGACATAAGAGATGCAGGTTCGATTCCTTGGTGGGGAAGATCTCCTGGAGGAGGAAATGGCAACCCACTCTAGTAATCTTGCCTGGAGATTCCCACGGGCAGGGTAGCCTGGAAGGCTATAGTCCATGGGGTCGCAAAGAGTCAGATACGACTTAATGACTGAACACAGACACATGCACACCATAAACATTCCTCACTAACATTTTCTCTTGTGTCTTATATTATTTGTTGCATTTATGACCTTTAATTTCTCCCTTTGTGTTTTCTAAAATCACAGGCTAGTCCACAGATGTGGACTTTGACTGGCCTCATTTTGAACCATAGTTCTGCCCCTCCCTTTGGGCTAGTTGTTTAAATTTGCAGAGGTTTATT